AAAGAAAGAAAGAAAGAAAGAAAGAAAGAAAGAAAGAAAGAAAGAAAGAAAGAAAGAAAGAAAGAAAGAAAGAAAGAAAGAAAGAAAGAAAATGGTGTGTTGGGAAGTTAATACCTGAACATGCACTCAGGAAGGAGAAGATGCGTGCTTTGCAGACAACAGGCAGATAGTGATGTCTGGTGTGGTGATGGTATTCCCATGTGCTTTAGAAAAGGTAATTTTTCTAGTTAGGTGGAATGTGGAGCATGAACAGATCAACCAGTCATCAGAAGAATTTCCTCATTTTGTGTTCGTGCCTAGTTTAAGATTCATAACACTATCATTAAATACTTACCACATGATCAGTTTTGAATATTTAAATTCATACTTATTAAAGTTTCACATTGTATATGTATGTGTGTGTTAAGCCACTTAACTTGAAATAGCCAGGATTTGAGATTATTTAAATAACTTGTAGTTCATATTGAGTTTACAATGTATGCTTATGTAGTAGGTGTCTAGAATGTAGAGTAGCTATGAACTAAGGAGCCTAGCAGTTACTCAGGAGTGTGATTGCTAAAGAAATGATTAAATGATTAGGACATTACTGCAGGAAGCAACCACAGTGGCATTGATCTCTCAGTAGGGACTGTGTGTTGCTAGACAGCAGCAGAGTGTGTGCAGGGAAAGGCAGACAGACTGCTTTCATTTCAGATCAGTCCATTCCATGATTTTAAAAGGTGTTCTCATTGTAGTTTGTCCAAGTAAGAGGAAGACTATTTGGGGGTTTGTTAATAATATTCTGGAACATACTAGAAACGATGTATGATCGATTTATTGTTCTAAAATACATACTTGGTGTTTTTTATAGCAGTGCTCCTAAAATGTATTAGTTATTATTGCTAAATGTTTTTCTTGCCAGAGATGACAGTAGTTGGTTTTTATTAAAAGAACAAATGTTTACCATTTAAATTGTAAGGCCAGGGGCTAGAACAGTTCCTCAGCAATTAAGAACATGTACTGCTCTTGCAGAGGCCCTGAGTTTAGTTCCCAGCACCCATAAAGGGTGGCTCACAATCACCCATAACTCTAGCTCCAGGGCCTCTGTTCTCGGTGGGTGCTCCACTTATGTGCACAAACCTATACTCTAAAAATATACACATACATGTAATTAAAAATAAAACGTTAATAAGTTGTAAGGTCTGTGTTGCATTACCAAAAACTGCAATGCAGAAATGTAATCAGGCTCTTGTGCACACCACCAGCAATGCTACTCTGACGTTCAGTAAGCATTGCTTTTCTGCCAGTGAAGTAGGAAGCAGACACAACTGAAAACTCAACTTAAAAAAGCTGGGGGAGGGGCTTAGTTTAGCCTAGGATCCCAGCCATGCAGCTCTTCAGAAGGAGATAAGGCAGGATGCGGCTGTTAAGCTATTATAGGCAAACTGCACCAGAATACATGTCCAAAGGGATGAGGACAGCATGGGCTCACAGTGGGCTTTTACTCAGAGAATTAAATGATCACCTAAAAGCTGAGTTGTGGAACTAAATAGATCTATAAAAAATAAATCTATATAATAGATTATATAGAGTTATGATGTATTCTAATTAATTAGAACTATAAATTCCCAATCTAGCATATGGTTGCTGAGGGAACCTGGACTTCAGAGTCATTTCCCATCCAGGAAACTGGTACTGGCATAGATGAAATTGAGTAAAAGTCATACTTAATTTTCTTTTGCCAAGTTATTTGTCAAAGTTCAGAAAGTTGCCATTACCGAGTGCCTGCTGTGGTCTGTGTACCTTTTTTTGTTCCACCAATACATTACTTTATATATACATTTATTTTATTTGACAGTTTTATGCATGTATATAGTAAATATGATCATATCCACCCCTACTTCCCTCCTCCAATTCCCCCTGGATTCCCCTCAAAATGTCCCCTCTTGACTCCATAGCCCTGGCTGGTCTGAGACTTGCTATGTAAATCAGATTAGCCGAGAACTCAGGAAAGCCCACCTGCCCCTGCCTTCTGAGTGTGAGGATTAAAAGCATGCACCGCCATCCCCCAAGTGTGTGTGTGTGTCCCCTATTAAGCCCTGTCAGTGCTACCCATATGTGCATGCCGTGTGTGCAGCCATTCACTGGACATGGGAAACCCACCAGTGGCTACACCCCCAAAGAACGGTGCTTGTCGGCAGCTGTCACTGCCAGTAGCTGCTGACTTGGGGTGAGTGCTTCTCCCACCCACGTTGGAGTTCGACTTGCCCAGGCCACTGTGGCTGTCATGAGTTCAGGACTGCAGCAGTCATGTCACATGTAGAGGTCAGCACTTCACAGCCCTCTCCCCATCCTCCAGCGCACGCTCTCTCTCTCTCTGTCTCTCTCTCTGTCTCTCTCTCTCTGTCTCTCTCTCTGCCTCTCTCTCTGTCTCTCTCTCTGTCTCTCTCTCTCTCTGTCTCTCTCTCTCTCTGTCTCTCTCTCTCTGTCTCTCTGTCTCTCTCTCTCTCTGTCTGTCTCTCTCT